CTTTTCAGGTTGATAGCTTCTCTTAGGTTAGGGCTTCTCAATCATTTTCATATCATGGAGCTGCGCTTCATTAGATTCTGCGTGACACACCTCTGTAAGGATATTTGTAGATTTTTCAATAAAAGAAAAAAAGAAAAAAAAAGAAAAGTGATTTCTACAACTTAAATGTTGTAGAAATCACTGTAGCAGTGAGAATGAAAGGTGATCAGGATAATATCAAGTAACCGGTGAAAATAAACTTCCTCCTCGTCAGACCCTGGAACCCAAAACCTTGTTTTGTCAGCTGTAATGGGTTGAGTTTTTGAAAAATCTTTTCCCCTGCAGATAGCTTAATATTTATCTGTTAAGAAAAAAAAGGCCCATATACAGCTTTGTTGTTAGCTTCATATCTCTTTCTCCCTCTTGTTTCTCCTCCCCTCCCTCTCCTTCTCCCTATCTGTACAGTCTCTTGTCAAACTGAGGCCTGTGTTCCTGATCAGGGCATTGCTCTCATGTTAGCCGCTTCACGGGAAGCACATCCCAGCATTCCCTCTGACACGCCGGCAGCAGCATTACCATAATTGGCTTTTCTACATGACGGGACAGAGGAAATAATAATGTCATTTTATTTACAGCCCTCTTGTCCCGGTCCGAGAGCTATCACCCCCCCCCCTCCACATATCCCTCCTCCATCCTCCCTCTTCACTGCCGCACTCTTTCTCCTCTCTACACGTTCACTGACATACCCCCCCCTCCTCTTCTATCTCATCTCTCTCTCTCTCCCCCTCTCCCTGTGCAGGGCGCGAGTCTCGTTCTGCCACAGCGTGTAGGTCAAGCGATGGCTTTTTGATCAGCTCCTGTCCAAAGCCATCAGGGTTGAGAGGCACGTAATGGAGAGCAGGGTGACAAACAGAATCTGGGGAAGGAATAAGACTGCCAGTTTCCTATTAGGGGCCGGCCTAAACGGCCTCTGCCCCCCCCATCCCCACCCACCACCTACCCCCCCCCTCCACCATTCTCTGCCGCGAACCCACTCCTGCACTGCCTAAATCACATGAGTGAAGGGGCCTGTGATTGGACATTAGTGCCGCAAATGACTGCCGTGATTGCCCCCTCTTCCCAAACTCACATCAAATAAATAAAGAAATGTGTGTAAATAAATAGAAGGAGGGGTGTTGGAGAAATGGGGCTGGTGGTGGAGGTGTTGGTGAGGGGAAGCTGACTGGTTTCATCCCCTTCTTTTTCCTCCCTCTCTCTCATTTCATCGCCTTTCTGCCTTTCTTATCTGGTTTGTTTGGCTTTGACAGCGGCCAAATGGTGAGGCTCCGCGAGCCTGACAGAGAGTTTTATTGATTTAACAACCAGCAGACTCTCAGCAAAGAAAAGGGAGAAGACAAAAAAAATAAAAAATGGGTAGGGCAGAGAAAGATAGCAAAGTTTTGAAAAGGAGTGATATGTTTCTGCTTCACTCCGTGCCAAAACACTGACGTGTCCGCTGGTTGTGTTTCATTTGGTCTCATTTACAAAAATCAAGTCATACACAACGTCAAGCGGCGTGTGAGGGAAAAATGTTTTAGAGATGATCTGTACTTAGGTCAATCATGTTGTCCCGTTGTGAGGCCCAGTGTTGTGCTGAGGCAGGATACAGGGCGTTCACCGCAGTCTTTTCATCAGAAAAATATCATATCAAACTGCCTGTCTGTTCCGCACAACAGGACTGCACACACTCTGCTCTGGTGTGGTCCCTGAGAACCGATGTTCAAATGTGCAAACCTGATCACAGAGTGCAGATGCAAAACCCGTAATGATGCATGGCGTTCTTTCATCTTAAAATATTAGGTACAAATCAGAGTCAAGGGTGCTTCACTGGTACTTTATTTAGGGTTGTCTTTCAGGAACTCTCATTTAAATAAGAATAATAATAAATGAGATGAGAACAAAACACACACACATACACAGGTATATTTGGTAGCCTGAGACATGAAAACCTTTGATAGCACCTGCTTTTACAGCACCATAGGTGTGTATGTCAATTCAATTTGCATTATGAATTTTTAAAAGAGCTCTTGATAACATCTAAAGGGGCTACTACAAACCCTTTTTAGTACTCCACCTGTTTTATGTTCCCTTTTTTTTTTTATTAATGGTTGTATTAACCGTATGTGTAGGTATTGGGGAGATCAGTGATACACTCCTTGCGTCCTTGCTGTGTGTAGTTGGTGATCTGGCGTGGCTGGTGCGGGCTTGATCGCTGCTGCTTCTGACAGTGAGTCTGCAGTGCTATCCTGGCCGCTGCCGCCTGTCTCCTTGATGGCGGCACGTCCCCGAGCAAAAGTGACAGGCGCTTTGGCGCCCGTGCAGATGGCCCTGCTCACAGCCATCACCCACTCGGCAAACCAAACCGCCAGGGACGGCACGCCAGCCCTACCCCTTCCCGAGCCTTCCCCTTGCTGCTGGTGTTGCTCCGCATATGTGCGTCCGGGGCGAGGGAAGGAGCTTAATCTGGTCGCCAGTCAGAATCACACATCTTCAAGTTGCAGTGATTAAACAGATAGTGTTGATACGTAGCTCTTAATATTTTTCCTTCCTCGTGCTCCAGATTTTAGCATCCTGTCAGAATAGATGCAGCCTCTCAAAACAGACGAAGAGCTCATTTATTTCAGACTAATGTTAGCCACATTTCATTACTAATATTGTACATTTATGGCTTGCGAAACCGTCCACTTGCTGCCTGTGATTTTTACAGATGTCTGTCTCTGCCAGTCTTTTGTCTGTGTGCTTTTGATATCTCCCTCTTTGTTGTTTCCATGACAACATGGCAGGACAGGCATTGATTGACAGGGATCGTCAAAGGGTTCCCTGGCGACCTGCTCATCGTTGGAAGCCCCTCCCTGCTGCAGTCTGTGTTTTGTCACTCACCCAGGGATATTTCTGATCTGCTGCTTCTCATTCCTGCTGTCTGTCTGTGTGTGTGTGTGTGTGTGTGTGTATGTATGTATGTATTAAGCACTGCCAACTATTGGGGTTTAGCTATTTTTTGGCTGCATCCGACATGAGTGACTCACATAGGTAATTCCTACTGTATGTTTGCACTGTTCGTGTGGGCTTGTGAAGAATGGATAGCCGTTCTGCAGGATGCTTTGTATATTAAATGGCTGATATGTATTGATAGCCTCCTGTTCTGGAAGCGGGTTAGCGAAGGGGAAGGCACTGTAACAGAAGACACTCTGCAGATGTGTTGTAGAGAGTACAGCACATAATGCTAATCTGCTGTGTTAGGGATTTTCAGGAGTTTTAGAAACTGTCTCGGTCTCAGTCTGTCAGTGGGATTGAAGCGCAGCCAGGTTCTCCTGTAGTGCTCTCATTTCACTGAAATCCTGTCAGGCGTTAGGGGAGTATGTTGCTCATTTGGAGAAGGGTGTATCAGTAGCACACAGCGAACTCAGACTTATAGGCAATATTATGGTCGGTGGGTTCGGCTTTGCACTGTAAGAGCAAACATGTATGAGCTGAGCAGAGTGCGTAAAGTACACACATAGGCACGGGAAGGTGGGCACGCGAGCAAACACGCATTCGCAAACAGCGGCACTTACTGAGGCACACGCATGCACATCATCACACAGTCACAGTCCATGGTGCAGCTGCTCACCTCCCCCACCCCCAACCCCCCCACCCATCTCCTCTCAGGCAGCAGTAAATGGTGCCAGTGTATATATATCAGGTATTATGTCCACTTAGATTATGATATGACAGGTTAGCGTGCCGTTTGAAGCTGACAGCACATCTGTTTCATCAGGAGAGACTGATACTGGCATCTAGGACACACATCTCACCATGCAGGAAGGAGATAAAGGAAGAAGCTAGGGGGCCGTCTTTCCTGTCTCCCTGTCTTCCTCACCCTTTCTCTCTCTCTCTCTCTCTCTCCCTTTTCTCTTACAGCCCCTCTCCCCTCTCCCCGCCCACCAAACCCACCACCTCCTGCTCACTTTTTCTTCCTCCCTACATTTTCTTTTCATTCACTTGTTCTCCCCCTAACAACCTCCTGTCTCTCCTACTTACTGATGCTTGCTGTGTCCTCCCTAGCATGCACACACACACACACACACACGGCCTAGCCTTCTATCTTATATGCCTTTGTATATTTTACTGGTAAACCTGTTACATCTCAGCCTTCTCTAGTTACCTTTCCCCACACCTCGATCTTTGATCATGTGTTCACTTTCTTCTGCCTTCTTGTTAAGCATTGTGCATGCCATTTTGGATCACAGAGCAGTAGCACATTTTTGCAAATGCATAAACTGTCTGCCCAAGAGTCCCTCCCTCAACAATCACTGTGGTATTCTCAATCCAAGTACCATTGTTTTGTTTTGTTTTTTACCAGTTCCTGCTTATTAGCTCAAATGAAAATTACCTTCCGCTCATCAGAGTGGGTTAGGAAAAGCTGTGATATCTCCAGATTAGCGTTTTGTTTCTTTCCCTCCCTGATCAGTTACATAACCTGAGCATGTGAGGAGCTGAACTTCATGGACTGGATGAGTGAGAAGCAATAAAGCTTGGGGAAGAAAGAAAGAAAGGAAGAAAGAAAGAGAAAGGGGGAGTTGAACATGTAAGCATGCAGCTGGCTAACAAGGCCAAACAGCTAGTCATTTCCTGGGGAACATGAGGCATGTGTGGAGGAATAGGGAGTTGGGAAGGAAAAGGACAACTGTCAGAAGCTCAGTGATTTATTTTTCCCTTGGAGGCTTTTTTCACCACTGGCTTTCAGAGCCACATGTGTGTAAAATACACACAAACTCATGCATGCATGCATGCAGACACATACACACACTCGCTGGATGAGAATAAAAGCTTACATCTCCTATCATTGAGTATTCATTCCATGTTATTTTGACAGTGGTCCTGTTAGTGTGCTGTAAATCTTTAATTTCACTGAGCTGACCTCTTTTTCTCTCTTCTTGTCTCCCCCTATTTTTTTTTTTATTTTTATCTTCTTTCTCTTCCTCTTTCTCTCTGTGCTCCAGCGTACATGCCCGAGGACGAGCTTAAGGCAGCCCCTCACGATGAGGAAGAGCACCTGCAGGATGACGGCCTCTCATTAGACGGCCAGGACAATGAGTTCCTGTGCAACGAGGAAGAGGAAGATGTGGACGGAGGCCAGCCACCTAGCTACAGAGACTCACCACTCAGCAATGGCACTAATCCTGACGCCGGATATGGGTCTCCACTCAGTGATGCCAGCGACCGACTCACGGACTTCAAGAGCACCTCCTCCACGGATGGTCAGGAGAGGGAAGGCGCAGCTTTGCCCTTCCGCCCCAACAACGGCCTCTCTTTCCAGGATAGCCTGGCGCAGATGAAAGCCGTCTATGCAAACCTCATCTCAGATGCCTCTTGGTCCAGCATCACTATGGACATCATGAAATCTAAGCCCGCTGCGGCGGGCAGCGTCAACAGTGCCCTCACTACTCCGGAGCCCGCCTCTACTGCCTCTGCCTCCACAACCACAACCATAAACAAGAGCAGTGGGGTCAACATGGCTAGCAGTCATCACAATGGCAGGAGCTCCAGCACCACTGTCAACCACACAGGCGGCGCAAGTGGCAATACTAATGGCACAGCAGCTAGCTCTGTTGGCAGCCATAGTGCAACCAGCAGCAGTGGGAGCAGCAGCGGTGTGGCTAGCAATGGTAGCGGTGTAGCCTACGACTGGCACCAGGCGGCACTTGCCAAAACTCTTCAGCAGACCCCTTACCACCTTTTGCCAGAGCCCAGCCTCTTCAGCACAGTGCAGCTCTACCGGCAGAACAACAAGCTGTACGGCTCTGTTTTCACCGGTGCGAGCAAGTTTCGCTGCAAAGACTGCAGCGCTGCCTACGACACGCTGGTGGGTCTGACGGTCCACATGAATGAGACGGGCCATTATCGAGACGACAACAAGGACAAGGAGGAGGATCAGGGGAAGCGCTGGTCCAAACCGCGCAAGCGCTCCCTGATGGAGATGGAGGGGAAAGAGGATGCCCAGAAGGTGCTGAAGTGCATGTACTGCGGCCACTCGTTTGAGTCTCTGCAAGATCTCAGCGTTCACATGATCAAGACCAAGCATTACCAGAAAGTGCCTCTCAAAGAACCGGTGCCAGCCTTGGCCACTAAACTGGTGCCCACTTCAGCTAAAAAACGAGCGATCCAAGACGCTATAGTGTCCCCGTGCTCCCCAGACTCTCTCCATGCTGGTAGCGGTGGTGGCGGCGTATCCCTCGGGGACGTTGGCAAAGATACAAAAGCCGTACCTAACCCCTACGTTACGCCAAACAACCGCTACGGCTACCAGAACGGTGCCAGCTACACATGGCAGTTTGAAGCTCGTAAAGCCCAGATCCTCAAATGCATGGAGTGCGGGAGCTCCCATGATACACTGCAACAGCTGACTGCCCACATGATGGTTACAGGTCACTTTTTGAAGGTCACAAATTCTGCATCCAAGAAGGGCAAACAGCTGGTCTTTGATCCAGTGGTGGAAGAGAAGATTCAGTCTATCCCACTGCCACCGACCACCACCAGACTCCCTGTCCCCAGTAGTGTTAAGTCCCAGCCTGTGTCCCCCGCCCTCTCCTCCGGCTCAGAGGAAAAGAGGGAGGGAGGTGAGGATGAAAAGGTGGATTGTGGTGAGTCAGTGGAGAAAAAAATTAAGGAGGAGAAAGACGACTCAGGTGAAAAATCTGAGACTGATGCCACATCATATAAATATCTTAGAGAAGAAGATCTCGAGGAGACGCCCAAAGAGGGTTTAGATATTCTTAAATCCCTTGAGAACACAGTATCCAGTGCCATCAGCAAGGCCCAGACAGGCACGCCCACATGGGGCGGCTATCCTAGCATTCATGCAGCCTACCAGCTGCAGGGTGCCATGAAAAGCTCCGCTACTGTTCTGCCCCCAACTGTCCAGAGTGTCCAGATGCAGCCGATCTTTAACAGCGGGCTACGAGGCCTGGTGAGTGACCCCAACTCAGTCATCCACTCGCCTCGGAGCCCGTCCTCCCCCACCCCCCTCAGGAGCAATGTCACTGCCATGGAGGAGCTTGTGGAGAAAGTGACAGGGAAAGCTGCCACTGTGAAGAAAGAAAAGGAGGAGAAGATGGTGAGCCTGGAACGATGCCGGCCCCCGTCGTTAGTAAAATCCCCCTCCCCTGCACTGAGAGAGCAGAGAGAGCAATTGGCATCTCCAAATGACCTCTCTAAGCCGTCAGGTATGAGAAGTAGCAGCCCAGGCAGTGTAGATTCAGAGCTCATCTGCAAGAAGGAGCCCAAAGAGAGCCTAGTGGATGGCCACAACAACCATTCAAAGAACGGCTCTGAGGCCTGTCAGTCCCCTGTAACTAACGGCAACAGTCTTGGCATCATCACTGATCACTCACCAGAAATTCCTTTCATCAACCCTCTCAGCGCACTCCAGTCAATCATGAACACACACCTGGGTAAGGCCTCCAAACCAGTAAGCCCGGCTGCAGACCCACTGTCCATGCTTTATAAAATCAGCAACAGCATGATGGATAAGCCAGCTTTCAACCCACCTCCTCAGGGCAAGCCAGCTGAGCCCATCAACCACTATCAGTTGTATGAAAGCAGTGACCAGCCCATAGACCTGAGTAAAAATAAATCCTCCACTAACAGCAACAACAACAATAACAACGGCAGCAGTGCGCTCCTGACCAACAATAGTGTAAATGGTAACAAACCTCTCATTTCCCTCCCTGACTCAGTCTCTTCTCCCCTGAGAGAGAACGCTCTGATGGACATTTCAGATATGGTAAAGAACCTCACTGGCAGACTGACGCCCAAATCCTCAACCCCTTCCTCCATTTCAGAGAAGTCGGACGCCGATGGCAGCGCATTTGAGGACGCCCTCGAGGACCTCTCCCCAGTGCAGAAGAGGAAAGGGAGGCAGTCCAACTGGAATCCCCAGCACCTCCTCATCCTCCAGGCACAGTTTGCCTCCAGCCTGAGGGAGACCCCAGAGGGCCGCTACGCCATGACCGACCTGGGCCCTCAGGAAAGGGTCCACATCTGTAAGTTCACAGGCCTCTCCATGACCACGATATCCCACTGGCTGGCTAATGTCAAGTACCAGCTGAGACGGACTGGGGGCACCAAGTTTCTCAAGAACATGGACTCGTGCCAGCCTGTGTTCCTCTGTGGTGACTGTGCCTCCCAGTTCAGGACTCCCTCCTCCTACATCAGCCACCTGGAGTCTCACCTGGGCTTCAGCTTGAAGGACCTGTCCAAACTGTCAGCTGAGCACCTACGGGAGCAGCAGGCTGCCTCAAAGGTGATCACAGACAAAATGACATTCGGCAGCCCCCTGTCAGCCTTGACCACGCCAGAGGACGACACAGGCTCTGTGTACCAGTGCAGACTTTGCAATCGGACATTCGTCAGCAAACACGCAGTCAAACTGCACCTCAGCAAGACCCACGGCAAGTCTCCAGAGGACCACCTGGTGTTTGTCACTGCTCTGGAGAAACTGGAGAAGCTAGACAAGATGGAGAAGGTGTAAGCGGGGTCTCGAGCTGAGGGTAGAGACTGACAGCTGTGGAACTGACTAGAATTTCATTGCACTAAAATGACGTTGTTCACAGTTACTGCACTGGGCCGAACTGAGCCGCCAGAAAAAAATCAGTCTTATAGTTTTTTGTTGTGATAACTGCCTGACTGGACCATGTCTTTTCATGTTGATTTGTTTTTGTTTTGCCAAGCTTTTTTACACTTATTTTGTAATATATTTATATGCTATTTGTCTGATCTGTGCATGTATTTTAGTGAATCAAGGTTAAACACAAGATTTTAATCTTTTCATGGCAAAAATACAACTACTGCTTCAATGGTAAAAGTGGTGAGTGGAGAGAATTGGTGGAAGAGAAAACTGTATAATACTTGATATGAAGAAGGTGAAAATTAAATGTATACACCAAAAGAATGAAAGAATACCCTGAAAGACTGAAGTAGCACCTTAGACAGCTGAATTTTTTGAATTTGTAAAGAGAACATGTTTTGAAATATCTTGCATTTGTCAAAATCAGATTGATTTTAAAAGATCAAGGATTATCATTTCTCCCCCCGCCCACCCCCCACCCCCCCTCCTCCTCTTGTTTTTTGGGTTCCTGTCACTGCAATGTTTTTGATGATGAATGGCCTGCTCATAAATCTGTCAGTGTATTAGAAAAAAGATCACGTGAACATTTGGAAAAACTGAAATGCTGCTTTTGGGTACGAGTCAATCAGTGAAAATGAATGGCCGTCAGTATGCAAGTTTGCTCAAAAAACTTTTCCTTGTTGTGAAGTATCACCTTATAGCAATTTTCCAGTTGTATGGTTTGTTACAACTTTCTCTTTCTAAATTGTGTCGCTTTATTCAACTGTAAAGAGAAAAGTCTGTTACATGTAAATGATTACCAGTGAAATGTCAGTACTCCATAAGACATATCTTACCATTTGAAACGGCTCAACATTCTTTGTATCTTAAGGTGTGTGCATTCTCTAACTTTTATATTGTCATTTTATATACAAAAATGATAAAAAAATAAAAACAGATGGTGTATATAGATATATGCTGTAGAGCTACAAAATGTCCTTTTTTAAAGAAAATACAAATTTAGCTTCTTTGGCTTGGTTTACAGAAATGATTTTAATTATACTTGCATCCAATTTGATGCATGAAATGGTGTGGAAAATAAATAAGCGATGCACAATGACTATACATTTCAATGTTTTATCGACAATATTGTAAAAAAAAAAACAAAAAAAAAAACTTTTTAGCACCGATTAGTTTGTTTCATTTCTTTCTCAATTGTAAAATAAACCCCAAAGCAGTTGTTAACAGTCATATATTTGTGGTTGTGTGTTCATTTGTCATGGTGGTGCACCAAACTCAATGTGTATAAAACTTAAAGCAGTCACACTCAGGTCCAATCCTCGGCCGGAAGAAATAAGATTTCTTTTATTTCTTTAGCTGTACTTTGAAATTCCCTTATCTCGCTACTTGTACATATTTTACTAACAGGCCTGCTTTTATGTTCGCAAAAATGTTAGGAGAAAAAGAAAAAGTCACTGGTGTCATACACATAACTGATGACTGAGCCACATCATACCACCGATGATTATTATAATGATGAAGATGACGGGGATGATAAGCCTGTAAGGGTGCCTATTGTACTGTGAGAAACCCATGCTAGGCTTGTGACTGGCCTTCGGAGGGCCCGTTCTGAAAGAATCAGTGTTATATTAATGATGGCAGTGTACTTTTGCCTGTTGGAACAAAATCAGATGGGTGTCTGTTCTGCTTGATATAGCCTCCTGACCGGCCACACTCAACCACCCAAAAATTAACACAGCTTTTCAGATGATACACGAGCAGCAAGCTGTCTTTTTCTCTGATCAACTGTTAATACTGCTAACAAGAAAACACACTGCATATCTTTGCGCTGTGTATTTAAACACGACATAGACTTTTGCCATAATTAAGAGCCATGACTTGCTAACGTGAAGGCTATAATCAAAACTGAATTATAACTTCAATTTGACATTTCAGAGACATACTTGTCATTTGGTGGCCATGAGTGTACAGTAAATGCCATGTTTGTGTCATTCCTACCTATTTTAGCAGATTAGTTCAGATAAAAAAAAAACAAACATCTTTGCAGGAGGAAGTGTCACTTCAGCGTCGTCACTGTGTCACAAGTTTGTTGGCTTCGATTTCCACAGCCAGCTCAGTCAAAAATGATGCAGTCTGCTGTAGAAAACCATTTCCCTTTCCACTTCATTGACTTTGTTTCCATCTCCTCTAAATGAATGTTTGCATAGTTGCTTGCAGAGCATGACAGAGGATTTCTGCACCTTTTTCTGACAAATCAAACAGCCCCTTTGCTCATCAAGAGTCCGGACGCTTTTGTTGCGCCGCCGTGGTTGCATCTTTTTCCTCCAGTTTTGTGTGCTGTTGTATTTTCTGTATATTTCAGGTCTGGTTTCATTTCATGTACCATAGGCTTAACATTCAGCTGTAGCAAGAGCTGAATGTGATTCATTATCTAAAGTGACCTCAAGATGACCCCCCTACCCCCCCACCCCCCACCCCCCCTCCCAGCCAAAGGTAAGCAGCAAGTTTGTGGGATGTTCTTCCTCGGGCAGCTCCTGCAGGTAGAGCGTCCGCGTCAGGAATTTGATCTCTCATCTCGCCCTTATGTCTCAAGTTTCTGATTGAGTACTTACAGAACCAGCCTTTGTATGGATGAAGCCATGCTGCAGTGTTATGACTTCCATTCCTCACACTCACAACGTGTCTCGTGTTGGCTGAGTCAGTCACACACACTCGCCCTCCCCGGCTATATTATCATGAGTGTCTTTGTGCAATTACACACCTCCTCGATCTGGCTGCACCTCGCTGTGTTGATACATGGATTCAGTGACAAAGGAAACACAGGCAGAGGGCAGATTAGCCCGGCTGAAGATGCAGCTTCCTCGGGAAGGGGCTGCTAGAGTTGGGTTATAAAACAAACAAGGCAGATAAACAAGCAACATTTGGAGGAGATAGTGTTCCCTGCACACCGGAAATAAAAAAACACCTTGTAGGTTTAATACCCCACAGCTAAACCTGTAATTTTGCTGTGCCGTCAGATAGCTGCTGAGCCGATAGAGACTCTTTCCTGCTTTGTTAGAGATCAGTGCACTGTTTCCTGTGCGTATTCTATGTAAATTACATGCGATAATCGCCACGCACGGCACAATACTGGTTCCCGTGGTGCAAACGGAAACCGAGGATAGATAAACGCAGGCTGGGCAGATTTGCATAGCCTTTGTGTTTTGGGCGCTGCTGAACGTGAGCCCTGAGGATTGGTAGGGATTTCCTCAAGGTTTTGTATAAGTAAATGCCTGCTTCCTCTCAGGGCTGGGACCATTATGTACAGCAGACAGGGGTGGGTGTAGACAGAGGGCACAAATGGAATAACAAAATTACCTGGGCTGGTGGGAACACGGGGAGGGAGTATTAACCTCCATAACTCGCGTCTGCCTCTGCCTAGATAGAGCAGGGATGTAGTGGTGTTTGCATGGCAGCGTGTGTACTCTTCTCCACACTCGGATTCTGTACATTACACCGAGCATACTGTATATATTCGCCTGTTAGAGACAGTGATAGGAAGGTGTCTGTCCGTGGTTAGGAGTCACACACAAGTGAAGTTAAATAAGAGAGGGCACGTTGATCCCACCGCTCGTGATGTTTGATCTTTTTCTCAAAGGTTCACCTCTTAAGATTCAAGGTGTGTTATTACCTCAAATGTATGTATGCTCAGTGGAAACACACTCACACATGTGGTTTCTTGACAAGTCTTTTCTTCGGCTTCATATGTTCGCGTTTTTTTTTTTGTTCCTGGTTTGTATATGATAGCGGCACAAAGATCATTGTCAGCCATGAAACAAAGACGAAGCTCCCGCTGAGGATCCCGGCGTGCATCTGCCGCCTATAAACCCTCCAACTTTGCACACAACTCCGACGTATGGTTTAATACCCCTCCGAAATACCTCAACACAAACAAACAATGTCTGACAGAGAATCAACAAACAAAGCGACAACGACTGAGAGCCTTTGTACTGGATCAGAAACTAAAGTCGGAGAAATCTGTTTGGATCCTGATAAAACGCTTCATTGTGGAAATTGCACTGAGGAAGAAGTTATCAGTGCTCATGTTTTGCAGGAGATACCTGCCTCAGTCTATTTTTATGTTGATTTAAGTCACTTTGGGGACTTGATTCAATTATATTGCTCAGCGTCATACTGTAAAATGTGCAGGATCTGTGACAATTCTACCTTCCATACTACACACCTACCAAACAGGGTTCAGTATAGTGCAAGAGCAAGTTCTGTTTGTGCCCCCAGAGCTCTGCAAACATCCATTTAAGAACCTGAAGTCCACATTCTTCTGATGTCATCTGCACTGAGGCAACTTTAACATTTCATTTTCACAGTGTAATCAAAACAAGTATTTTTTTTTTTTTTTTTTTTTTTTAATGTAGATTTAGTTTGTTATCAAAGCAAAACCATGTCTGGTAACTAACACTAAATCAATTTACAAGATGAAAAGATTATAAGGTTTAATGCTTTATTTCTAACCGTGCCCATTTTGGCCCAAATGTTTTAATATCATTTTGCATACAGGTCATGCATAGGCTTCCATTAGAAAGTGCCTCGAGCAAAACTTTTCCTGAATTTACATTTATAACACTTTTATGGTGCAGTAAAAGCATCTACGAATGACTGATATTTCTGACCCATAATCAACAACTTGGCACACCCCCCCCTCCACCACCCTTTTCTTCCCCCCCAAAATATTTTAACAGATCAGAGAATAAGCCCTCCTGTTGCTACAGGATCAGATATACAGGTAGCCTGATGAGGTCCATTACAGTATTTTGGATCTTATCGATTGAGATACACTGAAGAAGCTGAAATGTTGCACAAGATTAATAAAAAATAAATAAATAAATACTTATTAGAGTTATACCCCGTTATGCCAGGCACTGCAGTGCGATTCTCATGTCACTGTGACAGAGTGCAGCGCTCCAGCCGGTGTCAGCGGCGGTGGATTTGTGTTTTTGTGATGGACATGCGGCAGTCTTTCATCAAGGTGGGTTTATTTTGCGGTGGGAGTGTTGATGTGACAGAGTTGTCTGTGGAGAATGACGGTGTTTGACAGCGGCAGGCTAACGGATGCAGGAGATCATCTCAGTCTGCCAAGCCTTTAGTTACGATGTGGTGGTGGATGAGAAGTGCAGGTGTGTGTCGCCGGGCCCTCCATCCATCACAAGCCCGGACAAAACACAAAAGCATACAGGGGATGAAATGTTTCCTCCAGCTTGGTGGATGAGGGATGTGGTTTTACAAAACAAGATACGATACCTATTCATTCTGTCCTTACACTTTTTTTTCCCCTCGTTTTCTTTCTTTTTTTTTGTTGTTCTGTATCTTTATTTCATGGTGCCTTTGACTTTCATTAAGATATACATTACAAACTATGCACCTTTCCATGAAATATATATATATATACTGTATATATATATATATATATGAATTCTTAATC